TTCCCTCCAAAGGGCTTCGGGGCAAGTGTGGGGGACCCGCCGCGCGGCCCTCACCGGCTGGAGTAGGTGTCGTACAGCCCCACCTTGCCGTCGTCTGTGCCGAAGGCCAGGCAGCCCTCCTTGCTTGGGTGCCAGGACAGCTGGAGCACAAGAGGGGCGGTCACAGGGGGCTAGGCGGGCACGTCCCCCGCCCTGGTGCCCGACTTTTTAAGGTAACAGACTCTCCTTTCTAAGGCAGAAGCACAGGTGGGTTGGCCAGAACCTCACGCCCCAAGGGCCCTCCCAGCACATCTTCTTTCGCGATGAGCTTAGGCAGACAGACGGAAGGAAAGGAATCCAGTGCCCCGGTCGGGGGCCGCCCCGGCAGGGCTCCCGGTCAGTGGCAGCCTCCACAGGGGGTGGGTGAGACGCGCCCCCCAACAGCCTGTTTGAGTCTGTGTGTCGGGGGAACGCCCTTGCTTCCGGGAGGTCCCCGGGAGAGATGGGACCAGGGAGCCCACCAGGGTCCTTACCGCCGTCACCTTCGACTTGACCCCTTGCCAGAAACTTTTCACGTCGTAGTTGTTCTTGATGGAGAGCGTGTTCCACACGCGGATCATGCCGTCCCCGACGCCGATGGCCAAGCAGCCTGTGTCCACAGGAGAGAAAGCCAGACTGTAGGCAAACCCGCCGAGGCACGGCAGCGTCCAGCAGCACTCCAGCGTGGCCATGTCCCAGCACTTGACCTGGAAAGACGAAGGGTCAGGTCTGACCGGAGGCCGAGGGCGGGACGCACGTCCACTTCACCCGGAACAGTTAGTTCCCTCCCTCACGGCCGCCTTTCCTGCTCCCCCCGCTGGGGGGTGGGGGGAGGGCCGGGCAGGTGGCGCTCCCCTGCCTGGCGCGGGGACGCCCTCCGGGGGACACGCAGCACCCCGAGGGCTCCCAGGACAGCCGCATCCGCACAGGCCGAGAATCTGGGGTTCCCCAGGCAGACCACACCGGGCCCCGCCCGAGCCCAGTCGCCTTACGTCTCTGTCCATGGACGTGGAGAGCAGCAGCCGCCGACCGTCGTCCGTGTGCAGAGGACACAGGTTGAAGACGATGCGGGAGTGGTGCTGGGCCTCAGCCGCGGCGCTGAACAGCGTGAACTTCCTCCGCCAGGGCTGTGCGAGGTCCCACAGCAGCAGCTCACCCCTGGCACAGAGGGCAGTCGGCAGGCACATCTCTCTCAGGCATGCGGAGGTGGGGGGACCCTGCCACCTTCTTCAGGCCTTACCCCCGCCCCCGCACGACTGGCCGGCCCCTTCCCCTTCGGAGGCGGGGAGCGAGCCCGGCCACACGTCTCCTGGGGTCCATCCGAGGCCTCGACGTGCACTCAGCTCGGCCCCAGGACCCCAAGCCCCACAGGCTCTCCCACAGAAAGGTCCGTCCCCAGCCTCCTGCTCCTCCCACTGCCCAGCTACCCCAGCAAGACAGGACCCATGTGGGGGAGGGGAGCACGGAAGGCGGAGGGGGAGAACAGACGGGAGGGGAGCACGGAGAGGGGAGCACGCAGGGGGAGGAGGCTCTCCGAGGACAGGCGAGAGGGAGCACACGAGGCCGAGCATGCGGACAGGGGACTCACCCGAAGCAGCTGGACACCAGCTGTGTCGGCTGGTCCTTGGGCCAGTGGAGTGTCAGCCAGAGGCGCTCCTTCACCGTGGGGTCAACGCCCCCCCTTCTCTTCAGGAAGGGCAGTTTCAGGACCGTCACCGCTGTGGGGCCAGGCAGGGTGCTGAGGAGCGGCAGGCTCTCCCGCACGACCCCCGCCCCCGCCCCGACAGTTCCCCGCAGTCTCGTCCCAGCCAGCGCTGCCGGACACGTGCCCCGAGAAAGCGAGTCTGCAGGGAGCTCAGACCCACACTGGTGACATGGCAGAAAAGAGGATTTCTCAGGCATGGAGCGTGCCCGAGGCCGCACCCACCTGCAGTGCCCACCGGGCCCCCACTCCCTGGGGCTCAGACCCGTGGTGCAGCACCGAAAACGAGAGCCTGGGGTCCAGCCGGACGGCACCAGCCACAGGCTGCCACTCTGGAGTGAGCAGAGCCGCAAGACCACCAGCCTGGCAGGAGGGCCCCGTACCTCCTAACGGAACCTTAGGAAACTGAGTTTTACTGCTGCAGCTCCAAGGGCCGCGCACTCGTCTGGCACGTGCAAGGCCCTGAGCCGGAGCCCCAGAGGGTCAGGGCACAGGTCTAGCACTGACCCCCACGCACGGCCCTTCCTGGGCAGGCTGCCTCCCCTGTGTGGACAGGTGTCCGCCAGAGCCATGCCCGGGACAGCCGCGAGCGGTGATGGGTGCTGCACCCAGAGCTCGGGCTCCCGGTTGCCAGCACCCAACTTGCTCCCAGGCCGCACGATGCTGCCTCAGCCAAGCTCCCCGAGGACGCGGGCACCAGGCTCACCACGACCCCGGGAGCAGCTCCAGATGCGGATGGTCTGGTCTCTGCTCCCCGTCGCCACGAAGCAGCCTTTGGCCGCCGGCGTCTGGACCGCCTCGGTCCCGTTGGGAAGTCCAGGTTCTAGGAGAGGCGAGACCCGGTTCTGAGTCTGCCCGTGTCCCCGCCCCCCATCAGGGCGCCCCCGCGTGCCCCCTCCTGCCCCACCTGCATCCTCCTCCTGGCTGAGGGGCAGGCAGGCCTCCCCAGGAAGCGGGCACCAGGCCACCGAGTGGATCTCATCGTCGTGGCCACGGAAGCGGTGGAGAACCTCCCCCTTCTTGCTGATGTCGATCACCACCACCACGCCGTCCTTGTAGCTGGAAGGGGAATGGGCGTTACCGAGACGCCGACAGTCTGGCGGAGGCCGCTGGCGGTATCAGCCGGCGCAGACCAAGAGGGGGAGGGGAGGGCTGTGGCGTGTGCGGACCCAGGTCCCAGTCCTGTGTCTTCCCAAGAGTCCCCCCGGAGGAGTGACTGGGGGAGTGGACAGAGGGAAAGGGCCACGCACGCAGCTCTGCGGACCCCCACCGTGGAGAAGCAGGGCAGTGGCGCCAGGAAAAGAGGGGGGCGACCGCCAGGCGCTATATGGAAGGCGGGCGAGGGCGCAGCAGTGGCAGCCCACGGCACTCACCCCAGGCCCACGAGGTGGTCGTGGTGCGGCGAGCAGGTCAGGCAGAAGATGGCCCTGGGCTCGATGAAGAGGTGCTGGCTGTCGTTGCGGTGCAGCCAGTAGCAGCAGACGACGCCCTTCTCGTCCCCCGACACCACCAGGTCCCGCACCCGCGGAGACCAGTGCAGCGCCGAGATGGTGTGCTGCAAGGCAGACGACAAAGCTGCCACACGCCAGCCGACGGGCGCTGCGCTTTTGGCCCTTCCGACGCTTAGGGGCATCGGGGCTCGTCAGCGCTGGCAGCACCGCTCGAGTGTGCAGGGGTGGAGCTGTGTGTAGTGCCCCCCAGAACGACAGGTGAATTCAGGGCCTCGGAGGACCGTTAGAGGAACTGGTCTCTTCCAGCCTTATTTTGGGGGCCACACCTTACTCGGTGCATCAGGCAGTGCTGGGCACTGAGCCTGGGGCTCCTCGTGCAAAATTTGCACCCCAGCCCTTCGACGCCTCTCCCCAGAAGCTCGATGCAAGCTCTCACTAAGGGCAAGCGGTTCTTCTGCCTGGAGCTTCCCTGAGCCCGTTACTACAAGCAACAGCTGAGAAACAGTTGCACTGAGGAGTCTTTCCCGAGCAACTAAGCGGTAAAGCTTTCGGATCGCTCAGGCGCTGCAGCCCGGCAAAGCGGGCTCACCGAGGCCCAGCGGGTCCCCCCCTGCGGGCGCCGCAGCCCCTGACCGCTAAGTGCGGGTCTCTGGGCCCAGGGAAGCGGGGAAGGCACCTGCCGCGGTCCCCGGGACGCCCTCCCGGCACTGCCTCTGCACCCGGCGCCCTGAGCGCCACCAGGAGCAAGGCCTGGGCGAGCCCACCTCGCCCCGGCCTGCAGCGAGCGAAGACGCCCCCGAGTCGCTCGCGCCCGCCGCCCGCCCGTCGGGGCGCCCGGGCACGGGGGCCGCGGGGTACCTGGTGGAGGGCGTGCTCAGCCACCACGGCCCTGGCGTCCACGTCCCAGACTTTCACGGTGCCGTCGTCGGAGCTGCTGGCGCAGAGCTGGTGCGGGTCCGCGTGGCGCGAGAAGGTGAAGCCCGAGACCCTCTCGGTGTGTCCCACCAGCTCCCCGACGACTTGGGGCAAAGCAGACCGCGGGTTACGGGGCCGCGGGCGCAGCGGCCCGGCCGGGTCCCGCCGCCTCGGCCTCCCCGGGCTCACCTCTGAACTGCGGGGTCCCGGGGCTGGCCCCCGCGCCCGGGCCCACGCGCACCAGGAAGACCGAGGCGCGCGCCGCGAAGCCGAAGAGCCCGCCGGGCGCCGCGTCGCTGCAGCGGGCGCCGTACCAGTTGGGCGAGGGCGGCAGCGTGCGCGGCTCCTGCCCCATGGTCGCGGCGGCGGCGGCGGCCCGGCTCTGCGCACGCGCGCGCGGCGGCGGCCCGGCTCTGCGCACGCGCGGGCGGCGGCGGCCCCGCTCTGCGCACGCGCGCGCGGGCGGGGGCGGGGCGAGGCGCTACGGCGCGCGCGCGGGCCCAAGCTTCCCCGGCCGTCCCGGGCGGCCCGCCCGGCCGTCTCGGAATGGCCTGGCCGGGGCGCGCGGGCTCAGGGGCTCGGACGGAGAGCCAGGGACAGGCCCGCGCGGGCCGCCGAGGTCGCAAGGGCGGGGCGGGCTCCTGCAGCTGCGGCGAGAGGGAGGCGCCGCGGGGGCTGCTGGCGCACGTGCGGGCGCGGCGCCTCGCTTGGCGGGAGCGGCGTGCGCTTTGCAGAGCGCGCCCCACCCCTCCGCCCGCCTCCAGGGGGCGCTACACCCGTTAGAACAGCTGTGACGTGAGCCTCCGGCAGCCCGCGCGTCCCGGCGCGTCTCCCAGGAGCCGGCGGGGTCTCGCGAGACGCGGCGGGATCTCGCGAGACGTGCGGCGGCGCGCGCATGCGCCGCAGGCCCGGCTCTCCTGGCGGCCACCATGGCGGCGGCCGCGCTGTGCCGCTGCGGTAAGCGCGCCCGGCGGGGTCGCGGCGGGGTCGCGGCGGGCCGGACCGGGCCGGGCCGGGCCGGGGGCGCCGAGCTCACGGCCGTGTCGTTGCAGGTGCGGCGTGGCTGCGGAGCCTGACGGGGAAGCTGGCCGCGGGGTAAGTGTCCGGCCGGCTCGCGCCCCGCCCCCCGCCCCTCCCGCCCCGCGGCCTCATCGCCCCCCCCCCCCCCCCGCCCCGCAGGACCCTCCCGCCGCGCGGCGCCGCAGCCCCCGCCCCCCTGCACGCGAGCGCGGCCCTGGCCGTGTCCAGGCGCTGGGAGAAGAAGAACCGCGTCGTGTACCCGCCGCAGCTGCCCGGGGAGCCGCGGAGGCCGGCGGTAAGGCCGCGCGGGGAGGCGGCGGGGCGGGCGCCCAGACCCCCGGACAGGGCCCGGGCCGGGGCCACGGCGCGGCGGGCGGGGCAGCTGCCTTGCACGCGGCTGACCGGGCCTGGGGTCCCGGGAGTGACCCCGCGCTCCCTGGGAGCGCTCGGCGTCCTGGCGCTGCTCCCCTCCCGCGCCCTGCTCGGTCCGAGTCCGGGCGCTCCCGCTCGGCCACGCAGAGCTCTCCCGGGCCTCTGGGTGGTCGCTTGTCGGGTAGTAAGATGACCTGTTAATTGCTGCCTGAACTTAGTCAGCAGCGTGCCCCTGAGGTTCTTTTGTTGTGCAAGGGTCCGAGTTACCGCAGCTTTGTGCTCTAAAATTTAGCAGCGTGTTGCTGATCGCGAAGCCAGAGGTGGAGGATGCTCACAGCACGAACGCGGTTTTTAGAAAGTCCTATTTGTTGGCATGGGGTGTGACTTGGTGGGAGTGACTGTGCCTTGCAGATGTGAGACCCCGGCGTCAGTAGGGGGCACTGCAAAGGAAAAGTGGGAAAATAAGCGGGAAGTTTGTGGGAGAGGGTCTGCAGCTCGGGGCGATGGGAGTGGTGGGTGACAGTTCGCACAGAAAGATCTGAAGTGTGACCCCTGGGATCTCAGAATGTCGGAAACCCAGGCGAAATCCGGGAAGATTTAAGAAAAGAAAGGTGGTAAGTCCTGTGCGCCACACTTGGCGGGGCTCAGGGATCAGAACCAGGAGGGTACAAGGCAAGTGCCCTGCCCGCTGTATCATCTCTCTGCCCCGCGTCTGTTTCTGTGACCCCGTTTTCATTGGGTGCAAAGAATCAACCCCTTGTTAACAATGCGGGACTGTCGTTTGGATGGTCGTTGAAGTTGTCTTCCGCTTCCTAAGGAAATCTACCACTGTCGAAGACAGATAAAATACAGCAGAGACAAGATGTGGTACCTGGCAAAGCTGGTAAGTGGGAAGGACGGTCACTTCCCCGGTGGAAAGTCTGAACCCTCGCCCCGAACGTCCAGAGAGTAGGGGGGGGGGGGGATGCTGCAGCCTTAGATGCTTAGCTGGAGGAAAACCCAAAAGTACCGCGCAGACATGATGGGTTGGGACCTCCTGAGGGAACCAGGCACAGGGTCTGTAGCCCGGTTCTCCCCCAAGCTCCCTGTGGCCTCTGGAGGTGGGCTGCTCGCTGACCCTGCTGGGTGAAGCGCGCATGTGGGAGGAGAAAAGCAGCCGGCCGTGTGTCGGTGCTGCCTCCTCAGTGTGTGTGGGGGGGTCGTCTCTCACCGCCCCCTCCCTCACACTGCAGGCGTCCTCAGCTTCTGCGCCCGCGCTGGTTCCCCATGGTGTAATCTGGGGTCCTCGTGTCTTCAATTCTAGATTCGAGGAATGTCTATTGATCAGGCGTTGGCACAGCTGGAATTCAGTGACAAGAAGGGGGCTCAGATCATTAAGGAGGTGAGCAGCAACGGGCCCGGCGCGTCGGTCGGCAGAGGCAGCGGAGGAATGGGGGCACGCGCGTGGGCACCAGACTGAGTTTGCGCTTTCTTGTAGAGCGATGAGGCTTTCTATTTGCTTTGGTCTTGAATATTTTGGAGAGCAGCATGTTCCTTACAAGAGTCGAGGGTTGGGTGGTTTTTGTTTCTCATCACGAATAAGAAATTAGATTATGTTTTGGTTCTGCGGTGCTGGGACGTGTTGGGCTTTTTACTGCGTTTAAGACTGGTGCTGTAGAGGCCAGTGATAGGACAGCAAGGAACGCGCTGGCCGACCCGGGTTCAATTCCCAGCACTCCACATGGTCGCCTGAGTGTCGCCAGGGTAAGCTGGGAGCACCCCCAAGTATGGCCTCAAGTATAGACGTAAAAACTCTGGTTTCACGGTGTTGCAGGTGAGGGCAGTAGTGAGTTAAGCTCAGGATTTGGTGTCTCTGAGTCGCGCAGCCCAGGAGATGTGGGTCTCACCATAGCCGCGGAAGTCACTCCAGAATGTCTCCAGAGTCCAGACGGGGCGATTCTCGTGGGAAGTTTTCAAGTGTGACCCTGCTTCTGATGCTCTGGTTATTTCCGAGCCCACGTGGTTCTCAGGCTCTTTCCGGAAGTCTGACTTGCCCGCCAGCCACGTCCCTTGGAGTTGTCTGAGGACTGAGGATAGGACAGATGCTCCCCGCTTCCCTCTGGGGGTGCTGTCCTGACTGAGAGGCAGAGCGGCGAGAGTGATCTGTCCCCACCTCACGCCGCTCTCCCTTGTCTAAGATCCTCTTGGAAGCCCAGGAGATGGCGGTGAGGGACCACAACGTGGAGTTCAGATCCAATCTGTACATCGGTAAGAGCTTCTGCCTCCCCGGGCCGTGTGTCCTGGCGCAGTCCTGCACGCGCCGCATGGCTTTCTTCTGGCGCCTCGCCTGTGGCCTGGTACCGAGCGTCCGGAGACAGTCCTTTAGCCCTCCGCCAGACCTGGGAAGCTGTGGGAGGTGAGGGAGAGAGCTAGTGGGCGCCCGAGTCATCCCCGAGGCCCAGTGGTGTCTGCATCCTGCAGGGCCGACCTCTGCTCTGGGCCCACGGCCCCCGCTCTGGGGATCCCGCGCTACTCAAAGCCGTGTGTCCAGAGCCGTGGCTCTTGGGCTCCCTGGCGAGCGGGACAGTTGGGTCCGGTGTGCCTCACACGCGGCAGGAGGGCGCTCTTGGCCGGCCGCGTCTGCCCCGGGGAACAGAGGCTTCACTGGCCCTGAGCTCTGTCAGGCCGTGCCCTCAGGATTGGCGTGGTCTGGGTGGTTCTGCATCCTGTGCCTCTGCCCTCCCGGACATGCTTACCCTGGTCGTCGGCCCTCACGCCCAGCTGCTTGGCATTGGAGTCGAGAGGCTGCAGCTGTCTCCAGACCCGTGTCCCGTGAGCTGGTTATTCGGGTTGCAGGCAACTTCTCTGACACTGTGACAGGCCGGGGTGGGGTGGGCTGGCTTTGTGGCCAGGCTTCCAGCTGAGAGGCGGGGAGCACCCCGGTCTCGGTGCCTGCGACACGGTGCCCAGGGCCTGGTGAGTGCCACGTGCCCTGGTCTCAGTCATGCGGATGTGTGTGTGGGACTCTTGTGAGAGGTGTGTCTTGAGGCTGCCCCGAGGTAGAGACTGGCCTTCTCTGTCCTGAAGCGAGAGCGGGCCTCGGATCCTTGCCTTTCAGCCTGCCAGAGCCTGTGGGTGGGGGGAGGGGCTTCCATCCGGCACTGGTCTGGGGGAAGGCACAGACAGTTCTGCTCAGCGCCCCCTCCCCCCTGCGGTATTGGGGGCAGCAGTGGGGCCGGCAGGGGTGGGGGGTAGCATCTGCCAGGAAGCTCGTTAGAATGTTTTGTGATTTTCAGTGGGAACGTGTGTGCTTTGATACACGGACACGCAGCACATCTCGTTTGTTACCTAAAACGTCAGCGAGCATACAGTCATTCTACCAAGAAAACCCACTTCAGTTGTCACTGCTCCCAGCTAGATAGAGTGCGTCCCTCCCTGCCCGTCCCTGCCCGTGCCCAGGCGTCAGGAGCCACACCCACTGCCCCTGGCGCTCGCCAGAGTTGGTAGCTCTGCTTAGTGGCACGGGTCTTCTGTAAGGCCTCACAGGACCTCACAGGACCTCACAGGACCTCAGAAAGCGGGTGGCAGGGCTGTCCCTGGTGCGTAGGGAAGCCGTGTCCTTTTCCTTCCTTCCTTCCACGCTTTCCGGGGGTCAGGCAGACGCCTGGGGCCCCTGGCCGTGAGAGCCACTGAGGCTGTCCCAGGGAGCTCCTCCGCCCAGGCTGGGTCCAGCCCTTCCTCTGCCTCTTGTCCCAGGGCGAATCAGCTCCTCACTGGCCTTGGCCTGCTGCATCCCATCCTGGGCTCGCCCTTGTCTCTCCCTTGCTGACTGCTTCCTGGGCACCCCAGGGAGTTACTCCTGCCTTCAATGGCCGTCTGGTAGCACCCCCCGTTGCTCCTTTCTCTCCCCTGGCGAGCAGCTGCTCATGTCCTTCCGCAGCTGGGCCCCACGGTGCTGGGTCCTGGCTGGGTGGTCCGTCCTCCATGGCGCTGGGTCTTGGCTGGGCGTCTGGTCCCCGGTGCTCCCATCCTTTGCACTCTTGTGGCAGCAGCAGTGCTGGGCTGGAGGGTGCTGGGAGCTGTGTCCGGCAAGGTCTCTCCTCTAACCCTCTTTCTTCCCCCAGCTGAGTCCAACTCGGGGCGCGGCCAGTATCTGAAGCGCATCCGGTACCACGGGCGCGGCCGCTTCGGGATCATGGAGAAGGTTTATTGCCATTATTTTGTGAAGTTGGTGGAGGGCCCCCCGCCCCCTCCAGAGGCACCAAAGACGGCCATTGACCACGCCAGAGAGTATGTCCAGGAGCTGCGGAATCGGACCATCATCCACACCCTGTGACGGACGGACAGGGCTAGGCCCCCCCACGCACCTGCCCACAGTTGGCTGCTCGGGCCGTGCACACGCCTTGCATCTCTCCTGCGTCCTGAGCTGTCTCGGGGCCCCAGCTGGCGGGAGTCAGTTTTGGGCCTGTCACACTCGCGAGGGCTCACTTCCGGGATGTGTCCTGGCAGCTGGGTCCTGGGCCTTGCCTGGTCTCATCTCCAGTTCTGCTTCCGGGTCGCGGAGGTGTGCGGGCTGTGTGGTGCAGGTGACGTGGGCCCTCTCTGGCCACCTCCCTGCCGAAAGGGCGAGTGAGGGCCTAGGGAGTAAGCCCTGTAACTCTTGGGGTTTCTCCACTTACCGTTGGCTTTCTGGGGCCTGGCTCACTCCTGGGAGGCTCCGAGGGGCTGTGCAGCACCAGAGGCCAAACCGATCCCCTGCAAGGCAAGCACCGTCCTTGCGTTCTTGTTCCAGGAGACCTCCGGAAGTCTTGCCGTTCAATAAACACGGTTCCTGTCTCCTTCCAGCCGTCCTGTGTTGCTTGGTCTGTTTGGTCATTTTTGTCTCCCCCTGGGCTGATCTGTGTGCTCTGATCCGAAAAGGTGTCCAGTGCTGTCCCTCCCTTCCGGGATGCAGGCCTCATGTCCAGCAGCCTCACTGCCATTGCAGCTCTGAGGACAGCAGAGAGCGAGCTGCTCTCCTGTCACTCCCCGGCCTGGCCCTGGGAAGGTGGGGTGTCGGGCAAGTGCAGGCCCCAGGCCGCCCACAGTGATGCCAACGCCAGGCTTCGCTCTTTTTTTTTTTTTTTTTTTTGCTTTTTGGGTCACACCCGGCGATGCTCAGGGGTTACTCCTGGCTCATGGACTCACGAATCGCTCCTGGCGGTGCTCGGGGGACCATATGGGGTGCTGGGAATCGAACGTGTATCGGCCATCTTGGCTGCGTGCAAGGCAAACGCCCTACCCGCTGTGCTGTCCCTCCAGCCCCCAGGCTTCACTCTTTCCACTGTTCTTCCTGCCTTGCTGCGGCCTGGGCGAGGGGTCAGACCCAGGGCCTCATGCCTGCCAGGGCAGGCCTGTGAGAACTCCCGAGAGCAGGAAAGTATGTGGGAAAAGGAAGGGGCGAGAGTCCTGGCTCTCCAGCCAGATTAAGGGACCAGAGAGGGGACAGCTGGGCTGGCGCTTCCCCTTGGGCCTGACCCGCCTTCAATCCCTGGCACCCTCTGGTCCTCTGAGCCCCGCCAGCAGTGCCCCCAGCCCTGAGTAGGGTGAATGCCAACCTGCTGGTGTGAGCAGGTGTTGGCAGAGCCCAGCCCTTTCTCCTCGGGAAACCAGCAGCGCTGCCGGAGTGCCTGAGTTGGCCCCCAGAGGGCAGTGAGGCGCTCTCCTGAGCTGCCTTTACCTCAGCGTAGGTTTCGCTTTTAGCCAGGGTGAGCCCATCCAGCAGATACCAAGCAACTCCGCTCCCCCCGCGGTGCTCAGGGGCCCTATGGGGTACTGGGATCAGGCCTTTCCCACTGGACTATCCCTGCCCCCTAGAAAGCGGCCCTGTCCCAGAACTCCACCGGGACCCAGAGTCGTGTTGCTGGTTTTGCAGTTTTTAGTTGCATTGGTCTTAACATTGTACAGTGACTAGAATGTGCACGAGACCAGGGGTGAGGCGCTCCGGAGAGCCTGTGTTCAGGGTCTGAAGTGAGCCTTCTAGTTAATGGCTCAAAGGCAGGCAGGCTTTTTCTCCAGGAGCTGATGAACAGCTGTTCTGGGCAGAAAGTCAGCTTGAATCCCCAGAAAGGCTCCCGATTGACGGCTTGTTCTGTTTGACAGTTGATCCTTCTTGTTCTCCTCCTGGGAGTTAACCCCGCACCCCCTCCCTGTGCCAGGAACCTTCTGTATTCCTGGACTTTTGCGAGCTCCAAACAGATTTGAAAAGCATCCTTTGAACGCCCCTTTTAATGCATAAATCAGGGGGCTGGGAAGACATGCCAATTGCAGACACAAAGCTGCTTTTGTGTTTGGGTTTACATCCACAGGCGATCTAGTGCTAATACCTGCTTGCTTTAGGATTCCGGTTCTTGATGTTTGTGGGGGAGATTTTTATAGAACTAAATGGAAGACTCTGTGACACTTCATTTCCAGAGAGAGAGGGAGGGAAGGAAGGAGGGAGGGAGAGAGCAGAAAAAACCCAAATCTCTAGCCACTTTGTAAATGCCTCTGAAATTCACACCCTGTGTAGAGTGGGGGGGAAAAAAGCCAGGGAGAGCTGAGATTGAAGCCACAGTCTTACTCTGAGGCAGAAGCTCAGCACCAGCTCATGAGACAGGAGGCCACGGCCACGTTCCTGTCTTCTGCTAAGTAGGAGGCAAATGCCCTTTGGTAGGTGCCCCTGGTTCTCCGCTTTCCCGCTCCGGCTGGATTTGGTTTCTGGTGGTGCCAGGGGTCAAACCCAGGCCTCACGCGTGCTGGGCGCACACTCTGGCGTAGAACTGCCTCTCGTCTTGGGGGGGAAGGGGGGAGGTTCTGAATCGCTTCCTTTTGGTTCTGCTCAGGGAGCACTCCTGGCTGTGCCCGGGCAGCAGGGATGGACCTGTGTTGGCCGTGTGCAGGGCAAGCCCCTTCCCCGCTGTCCTCTCCAGCCCCCAAACCTGAGCTCTCAGCTTCGTTGCTGCCTCGGTGCGGGCCATGAATGTCACTGTTGAGCAAAAGCGGGGCACTGCAGGGGGAGGTGGCCCCTTCTCCCCCAGGCCCTTCAGCACTGTCTCCTCTGGTGTCTGGGCGCCCGCTGGGGACTTGGTCGGTGACGGGAGGGGGTCGCACACCTCTCCACCAGCTGCATTCACTGGCTGCTCTCCGCGCGGTTCCGCCCACCTTTCCCACCTGGACCGAGACGGGCCAGGAGCCGGTGGGGCTGTCCGGCCCGCACCAGCCCGCACCGTGGGATGCCCGTTTTTCTGAGGTCTCTCGGGGAAGCAGCCTCGCCACGTCTTCCCTGCTCCGGGTACGTACGCAGGAGGCCCCTTCGCATGGGTGGGCTTCTGGTGGGCGTTGGCCGCTGCCAGATTCGGGGGGCGCGTCCTGCACCACGGCTGGCCAGGGGCCGCCCGGCAGGAGCGAGGGTTCCGCGGCAGGCGCAGCCCCGCCAGGGAGCGCCCGACACCCGCACGCCGAGCGCAGGACGCTGTGGGGAGGGGGTCCTACGGGAGGGGGGGGTGCAGGGGCGGGCGGCAGCCCTGGCAGCTGAAGGACGCAGCAGGGTTGGGGGGCCCTGTCCTACCCCCACGCGCTCCGGGCATTTGAAGGCAGAGCAGGTCTGACTGGCGCAGGGGGTTTGGAAAGGGACTGGGGGCCACCCCCAGGGGGTCTCTGAGGCCCGGATTGAGCTTTGGTATTTTTTTTTCTTTTTATTAGTGAAACACCATGAAGTACAGTTGTAGATTTACAATTTTTTGTGCTTGGGTTTCGAGCTTTGGTATTTTTAAGGACCGGGCTTGGGGGCGGCGGTGTCAGATTTCCAACCCCGGGATTTGTCTGCGCCCCTCCCCCGCTTGGTGAGGGGAGGGGAGCCTCACCTGGCCCCCTCCCCTTTCGCTCCTGCCTGTCAGGCAAAGCCCGCCCCCAGGCAGAGGCGGGACGCGGGGCGGGCTAGGCTGCGCCCCTCGCCACCCGCTGGCCGCGGGCCCACGAGGTGCCATCTCGGCTCCGTGCGCCTCGCGTCTGCTTTCCCACGGCTCCGGGGCGCGGGGAAGCGCACCCCGGGGCACCCCTCGTTCTTGGCTGCAGGGGGAAGGAAGCCAAGAGCTTTTCTCCGGGAGGGGCGGAGGGCTGGCTTGAGACCCCCAAAACTATCCCTGCTGTGAGAGAGCACTGGAAACGGCGCTTCTGGGGGGGGCAGTCGTGGCGGCGCCCGCCTTCCAAGCCCCACGTGAGCGAGAACCCCAAGGCCAGGTAAGTGACCCCCCTCCCCCGCCGGGCGGAGCTGCTGGGGCTTACTCGCTGGGGGAGCTCAAGGCTTGGGTCTGCTTTCTCTTTGCTTGCAGGGGCTTTGGGAGAGGCGCCGCTGCAGCCGGCTGGGGCTCGGAGCAGCCGGGCGCGTCTCTTGGAGGGCGTTGGAGGGCGCCGGGGGAGCGGGAGAGGTTCTCCCTGCCCAAACCACCCCTGAAGTGTGACTGACTGATCAGCCTCCGCCAGCGACAGATCTGCGGTGGGGTGTCGCTTCTGGTGGCTTAGAATATGCTCAGAAGCCTGGACCCGCGGCAGGGACACAGAGGACCCGCGGATGGCGGTCTGGGGGCCCTGGGGCCCGTGGTAGGGAGCCAGCTGGACCTCGCCCGGGGCTGGCTGGCCTCGCCCCGGCCAGGCTGTGGGTGAGCCCCTCCATGGAGCGTCTGTGAGTGTCTTGGTCCTGCAGTTCGCCAGGGCTGCCCGGTGATCGCTGACCCCTGCCGAGTCCCCTGGGGGACTGGAGGGTGTGGGAGCGCCCCCTGCACCATGAGGACCCTCAACCACTCTGCCATGGACGGGCCGAGGACGGAGAGGAACTTCTCCTTCCGTGTCCTCACTGCCTGCTTCCTGTCCGTTCTCATCCTCTCCACCCTCCTGGGGAACACTCTGGTCTGCGCCGCGGTCATCCGCTTCCGGCACCTGCGGTCCAAGGTGACCAACTTCTTCGTCATCTCCTTGGCCGTCTCGGACCTCCTGGTGGCCGTCCTCGTGATGCCCTGGAAGGCGGTGGCCGAGATCGCGGGCTTCTGGCCCTTTGGCGCCTTCTGTGACGTCTGGGTGGCCTTCGACATCATGTGCTCCACCGCGTCCATCCTCAACCTCTGCGTCATCAGCGTGGACAGGTACTGGGCCATCTCCAGCCCCTTCCGCTACGAGCGGAAGATGACCCCCAAGGCCGCCTTCATCCTCATCAGCGTGGCCTGGGCTCTGTCCATCCTCATCTCCTTCATCCCCGTCCAGCTCAGCTGGCACACGGCCAACCCCTCCGGCCTGGAGGACAGCAACGACACCTTCCTGCTGGAGGAGCCGGCCCCCGACAACTGCGACGCCAGCCTGAGCCGGACCTACGCCATCTCGTCCTCGCTCATCAGCTTCTACATCCCCGTGGCCATCATGATCGTCACCTACACGCGCATCTACCGCATCGCCCAGAAGCAGATCCGCCGCATCGCCGCCCTGGAGCGCGCCGCCGTGCACGCCAAGAACTGCCAGAGCACGGCCGGCAACGGCAACCCGGCCGAGTGCGCCCAGCCCGAGAGCTCCTTCAAGATGTCCTTCAAGAGGGAGACCAAGGTCCTGAAGACGCTGTCGGTGATCATGGGCGTGTTCGTCTGCTGCTGGCTGCCCTTCTTCGTCCTGAACTGCATGGTGCCCTTCTGCGGCTCGGGGGAGACGCAGCCCTTCTGCATCGACTCCATCACCTTCGACGTGTTCGTGTGGTTCGGCTGGGCCAATTCCTCCCTGAACCCCATCATCTACGCCTTCAACGCGGACTTCCGGAAGGCGTTCTCCACCCTCCTGGGCTGCTACAGGCTCTGCCCTGCCACCACCAACGCCATCGAGACCGTGAGCATCAACAACAACGGGGGCCCCGTGTTCTCCAGCCACCACGAGCCCCGAGGGTCCATCTCCAAGGACTGCAACCTGGTCTACCTGATCCCCCATGCCGTGGGCCCCTCCGAGGACGTGAAGAAGAAGGAGGAGGCCGGCGGGGTTGGCGTCAAGCCCTCCGAGAAACTGTCCCCCGCCCTGTCTGTCATCTTGGACTGCGACACAGACGTGTCCCTGGAGAAGATCCAGCCCCTCACCCAGAATGGACAGCAGCCGGCCTGAACGCTCTGCCCAGCCCAGGCCCCGCCCTGCCCGTGGGGGCCCTGGGGGCCAGAGAGGGGAGCTCCGGCGAGGACTGCGGGAGGGGAGGGCAGTTGCCCGGACGGCCGCTTCCTTCTCCCAGCTCCACTTCCAGCTGCGCTGTGGTGTGGTCTCGAGAACGCTTCTGCGACGTGCTTTCTGGGGGCTGGAGGGGGAGCAACCTTCCAGGAGAACCTGCTGCCTCTGGCCGGACACAGGTTCTGCTCCGAGGCCCGAGAAGCAGTCACCGACCTTCCCGGGAGGGCAGCGGGGCCGGGGCTGCCTGGACTGGGACACGCATAGGTGCTAACCCTGGTTCACGCAGAGGCGGAGTGGTCGAGGTAGGTGCATGCCTTCATCAGTGATTCCTAAGAGACAACGCAAAATGAGAAGAAAATAATTGAGCCTTACAGTAGGAAAGGGAGTTTTCTTTTTCCGGAACTGACCGATGCTTTGCTAATACCGGTTTTATTTATTTATTGTATTATATGGATATTTGTAACTTATTTGAATAAATCTATATTTATCACATTTAGGAGGATAAACAGACAAGTGATTGGAGACGTACGTGAAGATGACCCGGGGGTGGTCCACTGAACTAGCACTTTATAAGCCGAGAAGCAAACACGTGGGCCCTTGGGGACCCACCTTGCCGGTGAGATCATTCTAGAACAGCACAGGGCAGCAGTCGGCTCTTGCTGCTGTTTCACCCTTCATTGGCAGCCTGAGTAAGAGACGAAGGTGAAGTGGACCAGTGCTGTGAATGCTTTTCTTTTTCCTAAAAGGATTTTGAAAATTGTGAGGGGGGGGGGGAAGTAGCTATTTGTGTGTTTCTTTTCTTTTTTTTTTTTAATCGACCCAGACTTTCCCAGGAAAAAAATGATCTGCAATTCTGTAAATAGCTTTAAGGAAAACCCGCTGATGGAAAAGCCCGGCTTGAGATCTGGCGGAGGTGCAGCGGTCAGGACAGCGGTCTCAGGGATGGGCTGGTGCACGAGCCAACTAGTGACAAGGATGTGGCACTATGTACTTATGTAAGATAATCAGCTCTCTCGGTCTCTCCCCATTTCACCTGTCAGCCAGCTGTTCTGAAGCCAGCACCGGCCCTGGTTTGCGGAGAGCTGGGGGGGTCTCCTGCTTCTGCTCTGAGTGCAGACCCCCTTGCCGCCAGGCCTGCCCACGCCAGGCCACTCGTGGGGGCCTTTTACTTTTACTGTTGTGCTTTACTGAGAATTTAGATGTGATTTTTAAAAAAGAAAGTCCTTACCTGTTCGTGATTACCACTTAACAAATAGTGCCTCATATCATCCATCCTCTAGGAAGACATTTCTGCTGGTGGGAGAAGAGAGACCCCCCACCCCTGCCCGCCCCCAGAAGCCATCGGCATTTCTTTTGACAATCGCTGACCCTTTTTTCTCTTCTGTGCTTTGGAATCAAGTTTATTTCTCATTGCCTGGACTGTAAAAAAAAAAAGTGTCAAATACTCTGGCCAGTCACAACTCTTGTGGGGGTGTGTTCAAGAGTTCCTTTGAGATGTTTACAAAGTATCGTGTGGATAAGCAGTCTGTCACCGAGCTCAGCACCACGCCACGCGCTGGGGCTCCCGCACCAGATCTGTGCTTCTAACGCATTGTGAATGTTTTCTTAATTTTCTTGCCCGTGTGATTTCTTACCATATAATAAAATTATTTTGTGAAAGTCAGACTCAACCCTGACTGAGCTGTGTTGGCTTTGTAAATGCTGCTGTCTTCCAGATCCCCTGGGGAGCGAGTGGGAGCATTTCTGAAGGTTTCTCTTTTCCTCTTTGATGCAGATGCCTCCTGTATCCTCTGCCTTGTGGTATGGGGAGTCGCCTCGGAGCCCTGGAATACTGAAATACGGAATGCTTTTGATTTGCCTACAGCATAATGTTTCAAAAAATGTTGTGTGTATGTGTGTATGCGTGTGTGTGTGTTGTTTTCTTTTCAAGTTTTAAAAATTAATCCCTTCACTGAGGAATAAGTCTACTTTCATTTCCTACATTTAAAAACTTCCCAAAAACCTTTCCTTTTTCTCTCAAAGAGTGGGGAGGTCAGGGTATATTTATTTATTTTGGCTTTGGAGCGTGGGCTTACTCTGACGCTGTGCACAGGCTCACTCCTGACCGTGCCTAGGCAACCGTACGGGGTGCTGAGGACCAAGCCCAGGTCGCCATGTGCACGGCAGGTGCCCTTCCTGTAGTGTCTCCCCAGCCCCCAGGCATGGGGATTTTCCGTGATAGGGAACTTAGAGAGAAGGCTTGCTCTGGGGTAGTGTTTGACTCTCAGTGATGGCCAGTCCCCTGTCTGTGTGTGGTGTTTTAAAATACTGTAGAGGTAGTACATTGGGCAGGGCACTTTCCTTGCCCATGACTGACCCAGGTTCAGTCCCCCTGGCACCGAGTATGGTCCTCTGAGCACGGCCAGGAGGGACCGTGAGCTCTGCCTGATGTGGCCTAACGCCTTCCCTGCTGTTATGGCCTCACCGCACCCTCTGGGGACGCTGCGGCCTGGGGGTCTTATAGGGCATATTTATATAATCAGTGTCTTATGGGGTCCATAGGTTGGTTCCGACTCTCCTCAGTTCAGGCTTTCAAGTGTCCTTGTCCCCCCTTCCCAGCCCACAGGGGCAGGAGGGTCAGCCTCTGGAGCAGCACAGCAGGCGGGGGCGTGCCTGGCACCGAGCCTTTTTCTCTGGCCCCTGCAGCTCCGTCTCCATCCGGGGAGAGTTCCCTCTGGGCCTCTCCACACCAGCTCCTGCGGCTCAGTGGAGAGGAGGAGTGTTGTGGGGGCGCCTGGCAGGGCGACTGTAAAGATTATTTTAAGAAATGTTCATGTCAAGGAAAGTGTCTGCAGGGACTAATCAGAGAAGCAAAAGCACACCCTGACTTTCAGCTCAGGTGAGCAATGTTCAGAGAGTGCACATCTGTGAGGCATTTAGCCCTGAGGTAGTTCACGAGGGGTTCTTGGGACCGGAGGGAGGACCGCAGGGGAAGCTAGTGCTTTGCCTGCAGCTGCCCTGGGTTCAGTCTACAGCGTTTCATGGGGTCCCCTGAACACTGCCAGGAGGGATTGCTGAGCACAGAGCTGGGAGTAAGCCCTGAGCACAGCTGGGTGTGGCCCCCGCAAACACACATTGAGAAAGAGGGTGTTTTCTCCCTCTTCTAAGAATAGGCCTTTCCGAATAAAGGCCAAACTCTCCTTCTCAATGGGGAGTGCAACAGGAAATCTTTTATTTGGGGGTGGGGGGCATACCAGGGGGCGCTCAGAGCTTACTCCTGGATCTCTGCTCAGGGGTCCCTCTTTGCAGGGCTCAGGGCACCTTCTAGGGTGCCAAAGGGACTGACTCCGGGTCAGCTGTGTACCAGAAAAGTGCCTTTGCCCCTGTGCTGGCTCTCTTGTCCCCAGCATCCTTATTTGGAAGGATCTCCTGTTGGTTTTGTTGTTGTTGTTTTTTCTTTTTGGGTCACACCCAGCAATGCTCGGGGGTTCCTCCCGGCTCTGCACTCAGGAATTACTCCCGGCGGTGCTCAGAGCACCATATGGGAAGCCGGGGATCGAACCCGGGTCGGCTGCATGTGAGGCAAATGCTCTCTCTGTTGCGCCGTAGCTCTGGCCTCAAGGACCTCCTGCTGTTTGCCGCCTTCCTGTCTGGAAGCGGTTGCCCAGCTGACCTCTCAGACGCGAAAGGAATTGGCTTTTACAGTCCATGTGCCGTTTGGGACTCTCCCAGGCCACTGTCTCTTTGGCAGGTACTTGCTGGTCTTCTAGATGCAACTGGCTTTTTTTTTTGCATCACACCTGGCGATGCACAGGGGTTACTCCTGGTTCACGCACTCAGGTATTACTCCTGGCGGTGCTCTGGGGACCATATGGGATGCTGGGAATCGAACCCGGGTTGGCCCCGTGCCTTACCCGCTGTGCTATCACTCCAGCCCCGCAACTGGCTTTTAATATTTTATTTGTGTTTTTGGAGGGAGCACACTCCCAGCTGTGCTCTGGAGAGCACGTTGCCCAAAGATGCATCCCGGGGCTCCCTCTGCACCCCAGCCCTGGTAGCCATCTTCCTGGTTAAACCATTGCATTCATTTGCCTCTAGACTAAAATGGCCCCTGAGTGTGTTTTTCAGAAAACCTAATGCATGGCGCTCAGGGGTGCTCCTGGCTCTGGGCTCAGGGATCACTCCAGGAGCTGGGGTACCACATGGGGTGTAGGGACTCAAACGTGGGTTGGCCGTGTGCAAGGCAAGTGCCCTATGCTCTGTACTACCGTCCTCCAGCCTATGAATCCCGTTCGCCTTGCAGGCTTGGTTTCAGGTCTGAGCTCCTGACGGCATCCCTCTCCCCGAGTCAGAATGCCACCGAGCTTCGTCATTTGAGGCAAGAACCCAGTCTGGTATCCATCAGACCACTTGCTGGTTTTCTCTGAGGTGTCCTGCGTCGAGCAACATGGTGCGTGCATTGAATGAGGACTGGAGGGGATGCAGAGCAGGATGGAGAGCAAAGCCCTAAGGTTTTCTTCTCAGTTTGGTCCTTCCGCAGGATGTGCAGAATCTTTGAAAAGCAGCCTTCAGACTGTCTGCTTGCATCACTCAGTGGGGGAGGGGTGTCATTTAAGCAGTATTATTAGAAGCTCAAGAGGATTAATCGCCGATTGAGGAGGGTTTAACTTTTTCATCGCTCTGAGGAAAATGTAAGTAAGGGCCACATCCCTCCTGCTGTTCCGGCCTCTCCAGCACGCAGATGTTTCCAGTCTCAGGGGAAAATGCCCCTGAGCGGTGGCCCCAGTGGGAGCCCTTCCTGTGTGTTCTCAGGGGGACATGCGAGCCAATTTTCGGATAATGGTGGGTTCCAGGGAGACCACATTGAGAAATAGTTTTTATTTATTTTACTATTATTACCTCTGACTCTGTCCTCGGGGGTGCTGGCGATCAAAACCAGGTTGGCTGGTGTCTTACCCCCTGTCCTGTCTGTCCAG